TAAAGAAAAAATAATTTTGAAAAAGTGGCATTTTTGTAAAGATTTCAAAAATGTGGAATTTTTGTAAAGTGACACTTGAAAAGTGACATTTTTTGAAATTTCTCCTAATTTTTTAACAGAAACCCATTAATAAAAGTTTTAAAAATATAAATTCAACTAAATATAACATTTTAGACTTACAATATCATTTATTTTTAATATTTTTTATACATTAACAAGTTTTCATTATCATATTTAGAGCAATATTATATATTGTGTATATATGTATTTAGATTAATACACTATAAAAAAAAAATTATTATGATATAGTGTACCTATTTAATCACACTTAGAAATATCTTACATTTCTTTATTAGAAAACATATATTTTTTTGTTATATCTAATAAATTCATATAAACCTAAACTTTATGAGATTTATCATATTCTCTATAATTTACATGAATAATGAAAATCAATTTGACACTTAAATATTTGCATATGTTTTGATTAAATTTACACATAAAAATATTTAAACTATTGCATTAACATATGTTAGATCAAAACTATTAAGTTTTATTATATTTATGCACAATATATATCATTTTAGTACATTTATAGATATTATAAATTATATATTTTGTCATATGTTTAAATATAAAAAAAATTATATATATTAAAATCGATTAATCAACCTATTTAATTATTTAATTTGCGCTTGCCGCGGGGTCAAAATCTAGTATACATACTATTGTACAACCGTTATATGTATATAATCAAATGTCCCAAAAAATCCAAATTAAAAAAAATCTCAATTCTTTTTACTTTTTAAGAAAGTAGGTATTTAACTTATATTCTTAGAACCTTTGACTTAAGATGATCATACATATAATAACATAAATATATATAAAAGGTATTAGATCTTAGTCAAGATCAAACAAATATTATTCCATTATTGTTTTAAGATAGCACGTATTTTAACTTCAATTCTTAAAAAACTTTTATTTAGCATGATCATATATATAGATAAACGTATATAAAAGGTATTGAATCTTGGTCAAAGGTCAAAAGGAATTCTCAATTTAATTTTTAAGGTAGTATGTATCTTTTAAGTCAAATATTAAAAAAGATCTTTCTATTTATTTTTAAATTTTAAGATAGTAATTATTTTAAGATTAATTGAGATTATATTAAAATATATGTGTTTTTACTATAAGGAAATAAATTAAAGATTATATATTTTTCATCTTTGACTGAAACAAAAAAAAACAGATTGATGTAATTTTGTGTTACTATATATATTAGTAGCCTGATTCAATAAAAAATAATAAAAATTAGGGAAGGTTATTGAAATAACCTAGAAATTCAACTCAATTGCAAATATACACCATTTTCTCTTTCACCAAAATTTTTGCAAACCAACCATAGAATTTAATTTATTTACAGAAATACCATTATATCTTAATTAATTTTTTTTTTTAAATCACACATTCAAAACTCAAACTCAAACACTCAAATATATCAACTTCTTTACGAAAATGTCATTATCATTAATATTTTCAACCACCATGAACAACTAAAATCAAGCTCTAAATGCTTCTTCAATTGATTTTTCGTGTACAAGAGCTTCATTTGGGAGCTCATAACTTCTTCCTCACTCATTTTCTCTCCAATTTCATCCAAAAAACTATCTAAATTTGGTTTTCAAAATTATTTCTCTCATAATCTATCGATTTTCAATGGTTCTTGCATAAAAGACGGTTAGGCTTCTTAACGGTTAGATTAGAAGTTTCATGTGCTTGAAAGAGCTGAAAACCGAGCTCTACGGTGGAAACGGAGCTAAAAACCGTGTTTTTCGATCTAGTTCGCGATAGTAGACTGCATAAGAAGTCTGCTAGTCAACGAAAGGTTAGATTTGCAATAGACTATTTTAAAAAATATTCATAGCAGCCTGCTCGTGAAGTCTGCTTGTTCTCCTTTGATAAAAAAATAACACTCGTAGACTTCACATGAAATCTACTTGAAAATGGGTTAGTTTTGCAATTGACCAGAACTTTGACTTTATAGAACAGACTTCTGGTGGAGACACTGACTGGAGACTACAGATAGAGTCTGCTCCGAGGTTATTTCTAGCATTGACTAGATTGTTGACTTTTTGAGCAGACGCAATTTGAAGTCTGTTCTGTATGGACGGGTTAGTTTTGCGTTTGACCAAAATCTCAAACATTGACCAGGAAAAATATTTATCGGCAGACTTCTTATAAAGTTTGCTATTAATTCAATTAATTAGCAGACTTCTGAAGAAGTCTACTAACAAATTAATTCGATATTTGGTCAAACACAAAACTAACCTCTTTCCAGAGTAGACTTCAAATGGAGTCTACTGGAAAAGTCAACAATTTGGTCAATTGCAAATGTAACCCCTCCTTTTAGAGCAGACTCTATCTACAGTCTACTCATTTCAGCAGACTTCTGATAGAGTCTACTGGATATCGATGGTTTTCCTCGTATTTAGTAGACTACAAAAGAAGTCTAATGGAAAAAGTCAAACTCTGGTCAAATTGCAAAAATAACCTTTTTATTTCGCAGATTTCATAGAGAAGTCTGCTGAAAAAAGTCAAACTCTGGTCAAATGCAAAAGTAACCTAATAGACTTCTACTAGCGTCTGGTAGCGTTTGCCGTAATTGCAAAAATAACCCATTGTGTAGACTTCATCTGCAGTCTACTAATAGACATCTACTGTAGAAGTCTGCTTGTGAAGTCTGCAGATTTAATTTTTTAAGAAATACATTTAAAACTTATTTATAATAATTTTTTTAGATTTTCTTACTCCCACATGGGTGTTATCTAATGTGTTTCCTTCTGTGAGAATTTGACATATTTAGGTGCAATATTTATTGTATAAATAAATTTTCTTGTTTGAGTAGTACTTAACTGTTGTTGGTAGACGTCTTACTGAAGTCTACTAGTAGACTGCATTTATAGTCTGAATTGTAGTTTTTAATTAAACAATTATTTTAAAACTATATATAATGAATTTTTTAGATTTTCTTCATCTAAAATTTATGCTAATTATTTTTCTCCCTTATGGCTGAGTTTGACATCTTCTGTTAAAATCCAACTAATTTTTAATGATTAATTAGTCTTTCGCTCTTTCTACCAAACTGTGTATGAAGTCTACAGAAGATATTCGAGACCTAATGTGTTTTCTATTTATTTTTATTTTTTACAGAGAATGGTTCTGTTAGTTGTTGTCTATGGAGAATGGGCTATTCAAGATAAGGTGTGGCAATTTGTGGTTGATAATCTTAAAGGAGGGAGACTGTGTTTTTTTAGTGATTATTGCACCCATTGTTATCTTCTTGAGATGGCAAAAGATGAATATAAGGTGGAATCCAACTTGGTGGAGATCACTTATTCACTACCGGAATCAATGTTGCAACATATGGCGCCAGATACTCCTCCAATGCATGTCACAAATGATAGACAAGTTCAGAATTTGATCGAGCTAAGTAGAGCGCATGTTATACGTCTTTGTGTCTCAATTCGGTTGGAGATGGATTGTGATGTCAACAATGATTGTGGTAGAATTTTGGACAGTGGTTGTGAAGAATATACAGACGTAGATGCTGAGGAATGCGAGGATGGAGATGGTGACAACTATGGGGATGGTACGGGAAATGGTGCGAATGAAGAAGATCATGTTATTGAAGATGGTGATGGTGTCGATGATATCAAAATTGATGGTGTTGGTATTAATGAAGATTACAGTGTTTATGGAAAAGTGAAAGATGAGGATCAAGATGATATCACATTTGATGGTGTTGGTGGGAGTGAGCGTTGTCTTGGCGAAGGAGCAAGATCAAAATCGACATGGTCTGATGGTATATTTGTCGGACAGAGTTTTAGTAGCAAGGATGAGCTGCTTAAAGAGTTGTGATTGACGGCCGTGATGTCAAGATTTGCATTCAAAACATACAAGTCTACTAAAACCCTGTTAGTCGCTACGTGTCGTGTGAAAGGATGCAAGTGGAAAGTCAGAGCGGGTGTGACAAATGAACCAAACCGGTTTTGGGTGACAAAGTATATTAAAAATCATACATGTTCACTAGCAGAGAGAGTCTTTTACAGGAGACGCTCAACTCCAAAGTATGTTGGTAGGTTATTTATCGAGTGCGTCAGAATAATCGATGGAGTTACGCCAAAGCATATACAAGATTCAATGAAGGTGATGTTTGGTATGAATCTGGATTATTCCACTTCATACAGATCATTGATATACGCCCAAAAAATGGTGAG